GTTGGCCGACAATAAAGAAGATGCTAGTGATTTGCGTGCTGCTATTTCCAGGGCTTCTCGTAAAAGAAGTTCCAAGCCGTACAGTAAACCAGAATCTTCCAATAGTGGTTCCGGAAAAGGAGAATTCAATTCCTGGAGTTTTTTTCGTGGCCTTGGCCAAGTCAGTGATACCGAGTTCTCCAAAGCAGGCAAGTCAGAAAGTTACAAGTGTTTCTATTGTAACCAGCCCGGGCACTTTGCAAGGAACTGCCCCGAAAAAAGGATTCCTACAGCGACAGTTGGTGCACCAAAGTTCCAGGAACAGAACACAGGAAAGACCCAGTAACAAAACAGATACAGACATAGATGAAGTTGAGTATTGTTTTCAATTTGTTAACAAGTATGAGAAAAAATCTTGTCAAAATCTTATAAATGTGAAAGGAAATTTAAGAAAACATGCATTGTTTTGGAAAAATGTACTTAACGCTAATGATTTTATAATGAATGTTATTAATTTTGGGTATAGAATTCCTTTTCTGAGTGAACCACCGACTATTTTTCTAAGTAATAATAGATCCGCGTTAAAACACTCAGAATTTGTTGAAAATTCTATTGAAGAACTTTTAACTAAAGAATGTATAAAAGAAGTAAATCGACCATTTGTCGTTAATCCACTTACTGTGTCGGTAAATAGTACGGGTAAAGAAAGATTAGTCTTAGATTTGAGACATGTTAATAAATTTGTCGAGAAACAAAAAGTTAAATTTGAAGGGGTTAAAGAAGCTATGACATTTGTAAATTTTAGCGGTTTTGGGTTTAAATTTGATTTAAAGTCTGGTTATCACCATATAGAAATTCACCCTGATCATCAAAAATATTTAGGATTTTCTTGGCAATATGGTGATACAGTGCGTTATTTTACTTTTTCGTTTTGCCTTTTGGACTTTCATCAGCTGGTCATATATTTACCAAGACAGTACGTGTGTTAGTTAAATAGTGGAGATCTTTAGGATTTCCCATGGTGGTTTATTTAGATGATGGTATAGGTACAGCAGAAAATTTTGATACATTTTGAATTATCGAAAACAGTAAAAAATGATTTACTGCTTTCCGGTTTTATTGCTAATACAGAAAAGAGTGTCTGGGAACCAGTACAAAATATTGATTGGTTAGGTTTTGTTTGGAACTTTAAAGATTGTACTTTAGAAATATCGCTTAAAAAATTATTTGCTTTAAAGCTGGTAATATCGAGCGTAGTAGATGGCAAAACTATTTTGACTTATAGATGTGTTGCTAAAATATGTGGAAAAATCATTTCTATGATTCCTGCTCTTGGTAACGTTTGTCAAATGATGACGAAGCATATGCATATGCTAGTCTGTTGTAGATCTGCATGGGACGATGTCATTCCTATAAATGACAACATTTTGAAGGAACTAAAATTTTGGTATTTTGAATGCGAGTCATTATCTTTCCAACGCATTGTACCTATAAATAGAATACCACAGCGTGTAATTTTCACTGACGCTAGTCAGTATGCCGGAGCATGGTTTATAACGAATGATAACAAAATTGTACATTTTATGTTTGATGGTCATGAAAGAAACAAAAGTTCTACATGGAGAGAATTGAAAACTGTAGAAAAGAATATTTCTTCTTTTAAATCTGATTTAACAGGAAAATTTGTTATACTTTATACAGATAACCAAAATGTAGTACAGATTGTTAAAAAAGGTAGCATGAAAGTAGAATTACAAGACATTGCTTTAAGCTTATTTCATATTTGTTTGTCACATAATATTTTCTTGGATGTTGAATGGATACCTAGAGATAAAAATACTTATGCAGATTATCTGAGCAAAATTTTTGATTATGACGATTGGGGTGTTTCCTATCAAATTTTTATATATTTTGATAAATTATGGGGACCATTCACATGCGATCGTTTTGCAGATTCGAAAAACAAAAAAGTAGACTATTTTAATTCTAGATATTATTCACCAGATACTTCCGGGGTTGATGCTTTCGCATATGATTGGTCTGCTCATAATAACTGGTTAGTTCCACCAGTTTGTTTAGTTAGCAAGTGTTTAAATCACATGCGGTTATGTAAAGCTAAAGGCACTTTAGTTGTACCTAAATGGCCATCAGCGTTATTTTGGCCTATCTTAGTGAATAGGTTTTCAGACAGATTTAAATCTTTTGTTATAGACTTTAGAGAGTACGTAAAACCTATGAACTTTTTTACAAAAGGTTCACAAGAAAAGAGTATATTTGCACAGAGACCTTTTAACAGTAATGTATATGTTTTGTTGTTGGATTTCTCGAAGTATTGAGATTTATGCATTGAATGTTGTATACAGACTGTAGTTGATTTAGTTTTCTGCGATGGTTATTTGCCGCAGTTATTAGATATGAGACTATATTCGTAAGAATGTTAAATTTAACATTGTGATGTTTTAACTGCAACAATTAGATATGTCATTGTTAACATTGTTGATTAATTGTTTATGAATACAGTGAGGGTTAATGCCACTGTATATATAAGTATATGACTTTTTTAGATACTGTGAGGTTGAATGCCACAGTAAGTGTGCGAGGAAAATGCCGCATTCATTTGTTTGCGAGGAAAATGCCGCACTCATTTGTTTGCGAGGGAAATGCCGCATTCATTTGTTTGCGAGGGAAATGCCGCATTCATTTGTTTGCGAGGGAAATGCCGCACTGGGTTGTTTGCGAGGGAAATGCCGCATTCATTTATAGTAGTAATGTTAATTATATTTACTTTGTTTATAGTTATTACTTGGTATTCATTATTATATTTATTTTACAGATCAATGGAAACAATTTGAGTGTTATGCCAATGATTCGAGATTTGCCAGTATCATACGAGATTTATCCTCTTTTGTCGAATCGTCTAGATCAAATTCTACAATTAAGAAATACAAGTGCTATTTTAAAAAGTTTGAAAAATGGTGTGTTTCATGTTCACGTGAGTGTTTACCAGCGACAACTACTACGATTTCTATGTATATAGGTGGACTCATTCAACAGGGATCCAGTGTTGCGATTTTAGATGCAAGTTTTTATTCAATAAAATGGTTTCATGACTTTAATTTCAAACATAATCCTTGTTCAGACAAATTCCTTGGTCTTATTTATGAAGGAGGAAGGAGATTGCTAAGTAAACCTATAAACAAAAAAGAACCTATTACGCCAGATATATTAAGAAAAATTGCTTTGAAGTTCGGAGATCATAATAATCTCAAAAAATTGCGTGTAGTAGTATTATTTCTGTTAGGATTTTCTGGATTTTTGAGGTATAGTGAATTGGCTAACATTAAGATGAATAATATAGAGTTTCAAGTCAGTCATGTTAAAATTCGCATTGATAAAAGCAAAACTGATTTATACAGAAGGGGTAATTCTGTTGTTATAGCTGCAACAGGTACAGATTTATGTCCAGTTTTTTGGTTAAATAAGTATATCAATTTAGCTGAATTGAGCAAAAATTCTGATAGCTATATTTTCAGAGCACTGTCTTTTATGAAATCGAAAGATGTTTATAAATTATGTAATATAAATAGTCCATTGTCCTATACCAGAGCGAGAGAAATTTTGTTAGAGAGTTTATCAGATATTGGTTTACATAAGCTTAAGTTTGGGCTTCATAATTTGAGAAGTGGAGGCGCTTCTACGGGGGCTAATAGAGGAGTCTCTGATAGGTTACTTAAAGTCCACGGTAGATGGGCTTCTGATAAAGCCAAAGATGGGTATATTAAAGACAATTTAAAATCTCAAATGGCTGTTTCCTTGAATCTTGGCATATAGTTCTCAAATTATTTATTCCTTTGTTTTATCGAAGTTACTTCGAGCAAACAAACTTAAATTATGACTTGTCTCTTATTTAGCCATGTATTTAGTATAGAAATGTTTTAAATTCGGACGAATTCATGAGGGAGAATTTAAATTTATTTCTATTCCGTTATATTTGGAATTTCCCTATTCTATTTCTATCTTTAGACTTGTGGTACAAGTTTGGCTAGTATGTAAATCAGAAGTGGTCTGATGTTACTGTTGTTTTCTGCACGAATATTTCGAGGGCGGTAGTACGGGTGGGGTTTTATAGGCATATATAAGTCCTGATTACGTTTGATTATTATCGATGTGCTCCAGTAACTTTGATAGACGAAGTTAACGTTAAGCTCTGCATAATATATTACAGTTATGTTTGTATTGATATGTATTTAGAGGACATTGTGAATGTATATAGATGGAATTGTGGTATATTTTTGTAATTTGTAAAATGTTTACAAGATATTAAATGTTGTTTCGCTGAGAAAATAAGAAAGTTACTGCGAGCAAACAAACCTAAATTATGACTTGTCTCTTATTTAGCCATGTATTTAGTATAGAAATGTTTTAAATTCGGACGAATTCATGAGGGAGAATTTAAAAAGAAGTAATTATAGGCAACCGTACGGCCTTCAACAATGAGAAAAACCCATACCGTATAGTCGGCTATAAAAGGCCCCGACATGAAAAATATGAAACAATTCAATCGAGAAAACTAACGGCTAATACTTTCCATTGTTTGCATGATAAAGTATTGCCATTTTATTTTGAACACTTGCATTATACAATCACGATTACATAAAGGCGATACATATCTCTGTGTCAACAGTTTATTTCCTTTGGTCATGGTGTAGGCCGGTAGTCTTCGACTAAGGGGTTATGAAATATATCAAATATGTCCGATACACTAAAATGTAAACTGTACTAGAAATCAACATACTAGTAATTGAATAAAAGCGTCTCTGTTATCGAAATTCAATAGTGATTTTATCAGCAGTATTTAACTGAACTGACCGGGTCTATTTAAAATTCCAAAATGCTTCAATCTAAAAAGGATATTTAAATATGTCAAAATCCAATTTCATTGAATATTTAAAAAGTCATGTTTTAGTTTTTTGTATGATTCATTTGTTATTTTGTGTTACATAATGCACGGTTTACATAATGTTTTGAGGTTTAAATATCATGTGTATATGTAACTTGGCAATGCACATTATCTTGATATTTAAATAAACTTTACCTACATTTTATTTTCCGAACATCATTATTCTTCCTGAAGTAAAGTGATTTCTGCATTTATTCAGGGTAAAAATGATGGATTCAAAGTTGTATTTCGTTTGTACAGTGTTATTTGCATGCTATAGTTTATATGGTGAGTATAATTTGTCGTTTTAATTGATAACATCTTGTGTGTTTTTTTCTACGTATACTACGCATTAAGTCTGCAATTGTGGAATTAGTCTAAAACAGTCTTTATTCATGTTTTTTTCCACAACTTACAAAACTGTTTCACAATGAGCTTGGTAGTAATTGAAGTTCTTACTGTCAGTTTGAAGGCTACATGTTGAAGGTCATTAAAAACTCGCCATTTAATTGTTGACAACGCTTCTACATTCGTCATATACCACACTGTGACCGTAATGTTAACACTCTAAGTTCTAAGAAGTGGCTATTACAATTTGCACATGCCCTTCTTTTGCAAAAGAAATCGCAACAGCATTTTTTCACAAAATGTTTCGGAACACTTTGATCGTAAAGAGAAATAAAATTCCCCTTGAATTTTCAGGCGTACACAGTTTGTGACGAAAAAAGCAACGCATAGCAAAGTATATACTTGGAGCATTAACAACGAAAAGTTTAGTTTATAATTTCACGACTGTGTTATCTTATACTGCATACTGCAAATACTTAAGCTATTTCATATTTCCTTCTAATTTTTCCTTCAGGTTTTAAAAATAAAATTCGACGGAATATATGACGTAATACAAATAAGCGATTTCAAGGAGACGTAAGATAGACTTAATTTCACTCTCGCCTCTTACAATTTCTGTAGATAGCGCAAAAAAATAAAATTGATGCATGATTCTATGAACAAAATGCATGCAAATATTTTTTTTTAAATCGTTTGCATATGACACTCTGGGGGCTCCCTATATCATGGCCTTCTGTGATGGATTTACTTTATTTGTATACATTTATTACGAGTAACTTTGTACTTTTTGTTACATGAATTACAGCCAAAAATGGAATGTTGAATGTACAAAATGTAATATTGAACAATTCATCTTACACTGCAGGTACATGTAATAAGTTCGTTTAAAAATCTAGAATCTCAACAAACAACAGGTTCAAAAGCCCCAAATAAACATTTTATATAATATATAGACACACAATCTGAGAGAACCATTAAATGTGGAATGCTGATCTCAAGACATTTTTCCTGGTATTATTTTGTTGGGATGATGTCTTATTGAAATACACATCACATCTCACTGTGTTCATACCAAAATAGGAAAAAAAGATACGTAATGCAAGTATACAATTCAATTTTTTGCAAAATGTTCTAATTTAATATTTTCAAATTATTATTTCTGTTCAATGATAAATATGACATCAACATATGGCAAAAGAACACAACGTATTGAATTGAGAGAACTCACTGTGACTATAAAAAAAAAGTTATAACTCATGTTTGACTGACATAAGATTACCTTTTTTAGAATTTAACAGGAGCAAAAGTAGTTAACACTGTTAAAATATCAAAAATCTAGATCAAGTGAAAACACCGACCGGAATTCTTAAAGTGTTTGAAAAAACAAACTCGGTTGTGTCGACAGGATAAGCGTCTCATTCTCTATGCATGCATCCTTACTCAGCCAAAATTTCACGACATGGAATAGGACTTAAAAAGTAAATGTACAGATGTTTTTTAAAATCAAAGACTTCGAAATCATGTCTCTCTTGAGTTGAGGCAAAGACAAATCGTATAGATCAACAAATTCGCGTTGAACTAAGATATCAATTGATGCAAATCCCAAACAAAGGGGAAAATCCCAAACAAGAATGACCCTGTGGAATGCAAAAATTATGTATCGACAGGATGAGTGACCAAAAGTGTTAAATATTAGATATCATTATGTGTTAGAGATAATCCCAGATAGTAAAATATACATGATTATTATACATTATATCACCGTATATGTTATACTTATTATAAGATGACATATAAGTCATAAAGGAATACAGTGAATACCTTTAAGATGAAAAAAATCAAAGTTGTCTCCGTTTACTAAAAATATAAACGAAACATGATCTCGACATATTAAAAAACTATACTTTTAAAACAAGAAATAGTGCTGACCATAGCGATGAAGACACCATTAAAAGATCTTGAAGCACTTCTTTTTAAAATAATGAAATTGTGATAAATGTACGTTACCAGAATCCCTGTTCTAAGCATTGGCAAAGCCCACCCCAACAAAAACATGGTTTAGATAAAATATGCAAATTTGATAACATTAAAAGGTAACGGTAGAAAATAGGGATCAGAGCAGAATCTGGTATCATGCTCTTAAAACCCTCTCACTATTAAATAAAACCATTTGTTGTGGCAATTAATTCCACTGTATAACTGTACTTTGATAAAATGAATATTTATAGCTGTATTTTGTTGTTCGTATTTGACTAAATCAGTGTATTTTTACAAAAAATATATATTTACGTATTATAGAATTGATAGTTATATAAATACAACTCAGATCAGGCTCAATTGATCATTTTGTTTACTGTAACATTCGCGTTGTTAGAAATCAATACCTACCATTCATGCTTACATGCACTGTGCAGATATAAGGTTTAAACATCTCTTTGTGTTGTATAAAATATCTATTCTTTTGATATTTAAATTAACCTGACCTGGATGTTATTTTCTAAAAGTCATTTTTCTTTCTGAAGATTTCTGCATTCGTTTTGAATGGAAACAATGGATTCAAAATTGTATTGCAGTTTAATAGTGATAATTGCATGCTTTAGTTTGTATGGTGAGTAAATTTTGTCGTTCACATTTATCAAATCTTGCTTTTTGTGTTTACTCCGTCTACTATATGACGCGTTAAGTCGGCAATTTCTGGCATAAATTAGTTTGATAGTTACTGAAGTTCTTATTTTCAGTTGGAATGCTACATGGTCAAGGTAAAAAATTCGCCATTGAACTGTTGACAATACTGATGAATGACCTGTTATTACACTAACTCGCACTATAAGAGTCATGAAATTAAACAACCACGTTCCTATCAGTGGTTATTTTAATAAGCATTATTCTATAGAAACACAGACAATTTCGTAGAACAAACAACCCATAGTTAAGAAAAAAATCCCATAAGCATTATTCACAAAATGATATGGGAAACTTCTATCGTTTAAGGAAACTAAAAAGTTTGTAGTTACGGAAAAGTAACAGAATGGACAGGAATAAGTTATAAGCGTTTACACTCTACAGTTGTTTTCTATTGTTTCTGAACGGCTTGCTACAAATACTCCAGTAGTTTCACATTTTCTTTGAAATAATAGACGAGCTCCTCTATCAACAGGAAGTACTAGCAGTTTGATAGAGGTGCTCATCTATTATTCTATATATATTTACACAAACTAATGCATTTTGACAATTTTTAATGTTTGGATACGCAGCCACGTCTTTATAGTATGGAGTTTTGTTTTGTGATGTCCAGGATTTTGGATAAAACCAATAGTTCCAAATTTACCTGCATTACTGAGCTAATTTATAAACATAAAGTCATTAACAGTCAAAGAAAAAACATGACCTTGATCAATGCCAAAATATAGGTATCGACAGATTGTAGTATCGTGAAAGTGCTTATATGTATGAGAATAATATTTAGTATGATTTTAATTTACTGATAACAAAATCAATATTTATACCAATAAAAAAATTATTTAAAGATCTAGTTACAGTGTTGAATTGGTAACCTTTTAGAATAAGTTTATTGAAAGGATTGAATAAGAGAGATGTCAATAAAATATAACATGACACAAGTTTACAACTTAAATTATTGCAACTCATATTCTGATTAAAAATTAAAGATTAAATATTTTATTTCGCTATCATAATTATCTAAGGTGCCTTTGTATTTATCTCGTTTCAGGTGTCATAACAAAAAAATATTTAACCACTACAATAAAAATTTACTAAACAATGAATTCAAATAAAGCAAAATTAAAATACAGTATTATTACAAAGTGCTTAAACTAAACACACCACAATGCACAAACGTTTTGGTAACTGCAAAAACATGATTACTTAAACGTTTTATACCGCAACTGGACTATTTGTGCAGTCAAAACACTTACAGAATTAACAAATGGCAAAATCAAAAAACAAACACATCAAACGAATGGATAACAACTGTCATATTCCTGACTTGGTACAGGCATTTTCTTATGTAGAAAATGGTGGACTCAACCTGGTTTTATAGCTAGCTAAACCTCTCACTTGTATGACAGTCGCATCAAATTCCATTATATTGACAACGATGCGTGAACAAAACAAACATACACAATAGATAAAAATGTCAAAAATAGGGGTACAGCAGTCAACATTGTGTTATCATCTTAATCACTATAAAAACAAACAAATGTAACGAAGAAGCACAAAAAGGCATACATCAAATTTAAAATCCTCATTTTGCTTATATTATACGATTTTATTTATCTATGTAAAATCCACCCATAAAGGATGGAAGGTTTTAAGTACTGGCGTAAAATCGCGCGTTTGAAATTCGCACAGGTAGACATAAAATAATTTTGTCGTTCAAAGTATGAGAAGATACATAAATACAGAGTCACGTAAAATGGATATAACAAAAAACAGACTTACCAGTAAAAGTAATATTAATAAATAAAATAAAATAATTGTGTGGTACAAAGTATGACGATATACATAAGTACAGAGTCACATCAAATGTATATCACAAAAAACAGACTCAACAGTAAAAGTAATATTAATAAATAAAATAATTTTGTCGTTCAAAGTATGACGGGATACATAAGCACAGAGTCACGTCAAATGGATATCTCAAAAAACAGACTTAACAGTAAAAGTAATATTAATAAAGATAAATAAAAGAATACTATAACACGTTATTAAGATGCTAAACAACGTCAGTACGCAAAATCTATACTTCAAGACCATCGTGTATTATTTGTGAAGTTGATACGGAATATTTATCAACAAGTTCATGGTACCTTCCGATGAACTTTTTTAGAAAAAGGACGAGGCGTTCTTTGACATATCTCTGGTTCATCAACTTTCTGCTCAGACACTGGTGACGTTTTACAAAGTCTGAGTAGGAGCTGCAAGCTCTTGAATACCGAATTATTTAATTCTAAATTCCATTTTTAAGTAGTAAATTTTGAAATAAAACGTTGGTGAGGTCAAGGTCACATGTCAAAATTATGTCTATGAGCTGATAGACAAAACACTTTCAGCCAATCAGAAGACGTGTTACATCCAAAATTTAATTATATAGTATTGGTAGTGACTTTGATCATGATGCCGTAGAGATTTATCTATGATGTCATGAAAGATGTTCGCGGGATCTTTTTGTTGTCCGCTTTAAATTCAAAACTGTTGTTTATTACCGAAATTATTTCAATTGGAAACTTTTTAAAAGCTGCAGTATTCAGTGAAAAACCATACATTGTCTTAAAACATCAAATTTTTATGAACTCTGCCCGAAACAGGCCTGTAATGCTGGGCAGGGACAATGTATAGTTATCTATTTAAACAGCTGAAATAAACACGGTAAACAATTGGAATTAATTTTCCTCAGATCGGTTCGTAGGATATAAATATACAGGAAAATCGAAAAAGTATCGACTGAGAATATTCAGTAAATAAAAGCATGGTTTTTACTAAGTTCGACTGCAAAAATGTGTTTTGTAAGCCTAAATAAGCGACAACAGTAGTTGTTTGTCGTTTGGTCATTTTTCTTTTTTGGCAATGGCGTTGTCAGTTATTTTCGACTTATGAATTTGAATGCCCCTTTGGTATCTTTCGTCTCTCTTTAATCGATGTTTTAATCTAGTAATCAATTTTGAAATCCAAATCAAGAGAAAACAACTCAGGGAATCCATATACCATATACGAGGCATCAGAGTAAACGTCTCCATTCAGTACGGGCTCGTTAGTTTTCTCAATTGTTTCATATTTTGCATGTCGGGGCCTTTTATAGCCGACCATACAGTATGGGTTTTTCTCATTGTTGAAGGCCGTACGGTTGCCTATAATTGCTTACATCCACTTTATTTGAACTTTGGTGGATAGTTGTCTCATTAGCAATCATACCACATCTCCTTATTTTTATATTGTAGACTTACACCATAGGTACGAGACGAGATTTATTCTATTTACTAGGTATGACATTGTATATAATACTTAATACCCTAAAGTATATATTTACAAAATCTCGTCTCGTACCTGTGACTCGCACGCATTATCAGTTTTATTTGACCAACTAACTATAAAGATACAATGTCTCAACATATAATTTGCATAACATGATGAATGTGCTCCTTATAAAATCAATAATTTTAGAAATGTCTTATGCAACTAATTTTTGGTAACGGTTGGAAATATAAAGACAAAGCATACAAAGATCTGACCTGCGCTTTAACTATGTAAATAAAATGTTAAAATTTATACATTTTTAGGCACCCTTGATACACGTTTCAAAGAGATGAACATAAATAAACTTCGAAAGTGTGGCTAGAAAAAAAAACACTTTATGAGAATCTAAAAGACCTCTGCTATGAATATCACTTTATTAATTGTGTGCGTCCGAAGCGCTTTTCTTGATTGATCTGCATCAGGAAAGATCGAACCCAAACATTTAAAAGCCAATGATGTATATTACCGAAACACGTGTAGGGACCTACAAATAGCAAAATACATCTAAGGTCAACATTTCCTGAGGTAGTTGGAATCTTATTTTCTTAATGATTTTTTTTTTATTTATCAACGGCGAATTTTAGAAAAAGTTTGTTTTAACAATATGAAAAATCTAAATCGAAGAATGACAATGTACACCATTAAATTGAATATAAATGAAAACTTTAATACCGGTCTGTGATGATTATATTTTATAATGCCTCTTTACAAGCAAAATGCATAATAGTACACATGTAGGACTAAATAAAATCACTTATTTTGCTATTATTTTCATAATTTCAGTACCAAGTGTTGATGCAGGAGAATGTTGCAATTCATACGATGATGCACTGTTCAATGAACATTCAGAACAATACTGCCCTGATTTTTGTTGTGGTACCCGGCCAATAAAGCTTTATTGTTGTAGTCATGAAGCCTTAAGAGCAGGTGAAGATGATCGAGACGACTTCTGTATGCAGTGGTTTGCAGATCACATGTAAGTACTTTTCACTATATTTTTAAGTCAATAGACCTCTTTCGGGTTCGTTGCATTTCCGTCAAAAACTTTGGATTTAGTGAACATCATTCGTGCGTTGAAGGGCATCGTCACTTCCTTCCCATGTTGAGCGAACGGTTTAAAACATATGATGCTATATTGCACGAATTATTCGGCAAATTAAATTCTTATAATTGATAATCAGCACTGCTGTCATTAGGGAATTGTGATTAAGTATCCACGGAACACACATTATTTCTAGATTAGCCTGCATAATTACGATCACGAAGACGCTTGGTGAACTTTAATAGTGAAGGGATACAGGCGGTCCCCTCTATCTGGTAAATGACATCATAAAGGCGCGCATAATTGACGAACTTTTCCGGTGAAGGACATAACTCGGAAGTGGTCTATTGACTATTATTTCACTATGCTACGTGAAAAATGGCATGACAATAAAATTGCACAGCATAATTTGAGAGAAAATTTAACACTATTTCTAAACCTGTACACTAGTGATCAAGAGTTTGGAAAGTAAAAAAAAAGCAATGTTTGTTGGCATAAAAACCAGAAAGGCCTAAACACTTTATAATACTTTGTAAAAGAATAAATAAAGATGTTTATCTTATCTTGAAATTTATAAAACAACAGTGGAATATCATTAAAGTTGTATGTTTATATGTACAATTACAGCTACGTCCCGATTATTGTTGCTGTATTGATCATTGCTTTAGTGACCTGTTGCTGTTGTGCATGCCGGAGACGTCGTGGAGGGGTGATAATCCAAACTCAACAACCAGGTATTTTAATTCTTGAAACTTTATATTGTATGTTAATTCAAATTCATTAGCAAAATACCGAACTCCAAGGAAAATTCAAAACGGAAAGTCCCTTATCAAATGGCAAAGTCAAAAGCACTTCAAACGAATGGAAAACAACTGTCATATTCCTGACTTGGTACAGGCATTTCGTTATGTGAAAAATGGTGGATTAAACCTGGTTTTATAGCTAGCTAAACCTCTCACTTGTTTGACAGTCGTATGTAATTCCATTATATTGACAACAATGTGTGAACAAAACAAACAGACATAATAGGTAAACATGTCAAAAATAGGGGAACAGCAGTCAACATTGTGTTATAATCTTAATCACTATAAAACAAACAAATATGTCAACAACGAAAAACAAAATGGCATATAGACATAGCACATAAGCAAATATGAAAGACAAAAATACAAAAAATGACCATAGCACAATAACACAATGGCGGGATGTATAAGTAACGAGCCACGCCAAAAGGATATTTAAAATGGACTAAACAGTAAAGGTTAATAATTTACAAAGACAAATAAAAGAACACTATAACACATAATTAAGATGATAACAACGTCAGTACCTAGAATCTATACTTCAAGGATACACTAAATAAAGGGGATATATTTTACTTTGATCTTCTTGCAAAAAAATATAAAGCTTAAATTGCGTTAGAAGGTTTGTTTTGTGAATGAGAATATAAATTTTCACCGTAAATTTTAATTATCGAAGATACAGACACATAATAGAAGTAATTGAGGCTTTCTGTTTGTTCCTTCAACCGCCATCTTCCATTGTGTTGATACACACAAAACAAAACAAAAACACTCTCATCAAAAGATACCAGGCGCATGATTTGGTACGCCAAGCGTGCGTTTGTCGTCTACATGAGACTCATCATTGGCGCTCGAATAAACTCTTAATGCAGTTAACTATTTGATGTGATTAGTGGGTAGTTTTGAATCTAGTTTGAGTTATTGCGGTTTGTTCATTGTTTTTTTGTTGGTTTATATTTGATGATTATAGGGTATATTGTTTTGTCCCTAAAGGAATGGAGTGTTGGTGGGAGTTTTTCCCGCTGAATGACACTTGATAATCTATTCATAACTTTTTAAATTCTCGGGGAGACGAAGAGCTACAGATGTTGACTACATCCTTTTTATGTCGTTGGGTTGCTGTTTCATTGACGTATACAAAACGTTTCCACTTATTTATATTTGAAAATTAATCCTGTATCCAAAAACAAAAGTACCTAAGTCATTTTACCATTAAGAGAGGCGACTGAAAGATACCAAAAGGATATTCAAACTCATAAGTCGAAAACAACGGACAATGCCATGGTAAAATAAACACAAAAAAGACAAAAAGTCAAACAACAGTACAAAAACACAACATAGAAAATTAAAGACTGATCCACACGAACCCCACCAAAATCGGGGTGGGGGTGGTGTGATTTCAAATTCTCCGGAGGGGTAAACAGATCCTGCTCCACATGTGGCACCATGTCTAATTGATAGATATAATATTAGCCACTTCATATGAGAAGCACACGTGTGAGGAGTTGTGTGACATTAAAACTTCCAGTAAAACAGTTTTTGATAAATACAATTCATATACCGAATATAATATAAAACATTGCTTTTTATCAAAGGAATGAGTAAATTAAATGGAAACATAAAATTAGATATAAAATATGTTTATCTATTTTAGCTACACTATTGATACACCAGCAACAAACCACTACACAGGACCCATACCGTGCAGGATACGACCAGTAATATCTTAAAACCAAAACAGTGTCATGAACCTTTTTTTTATATTTTTGTATATTGCTTGCGACAAAGTAGCGGACACAAGACATAGGCGTGCTGCTTCCATCAATGGCGGCATTTAAAAACTCAACACTTTGTTAAATTTCGTGATTTGTGCAATTTAAAGGGAAGCCGCAATGGCGGATCATAGGTATTTGGTATGCAGTTGTATAAGCATAAACACATCTCAATGTATGCCAGTTTAAGGGAATCCACGTGGTCCAAATGAGCCAGTAGTATTTTTCAATGTTATTTTAAAATTGTCACATTTTATTTCTAAAGAGATGTTTGATCCCGCCTGCTCAATCGTTGGTCCATTGAATTTGAAACTTTTGCAAAGTTTTAGCATTTACATTATATTATCGAAATAACATACAGTCGAGACACATATCTGTGTTAACATTTTTGTATATAAATAACTAATGTGTTATACAATGTAAATAATTAACCATTAAGTATACAATAATATATGTTTTTGTTTTAATATTAAAAAATTTTCACTTTTGCTTGTACCATGCTGTCCCTGATTTAGTTGTATGCTCTATCGTGGGATTTAAGTTCGAATTCAAATGCTAAGTCATAACTTTTGTTTTGTTTCATAACTTTTTGTTTTTCTTTTTTATTTGTGCACATGATGCAACCAATACAAAACATAAATAAACTTGAAGCTCTGTGTTATAAGCATCTTTCAATAACATCCTAGTATTATTTTAATGATTCGTATAACAATGGCTGTTATTAGTCATTAAACAGTTGATAATATAACATTAGAAGTAAATACCAACTTAAAATGAGGAACTAAGACGCTGCTAACAACCTGTTAAAACTATGAGGCTGAGGAAAGATAAAATTGGATGAATATTTAGGCAACAATAGTCAACCGATGTTCAAATCTCATACATCGATTAAAAGGATACAAATCAAGGTAACAAACAGAAACTGAGGGAATGGCATGAACTCCAAAGAAGCAAGACCGGGAGCGTTGGCATGGTAAGCATGTCCAGCTATGCATGCATACTCCACCATGCGGATCCACACTCAGTCAGAACGTCACAATCGGGAATAGGACGCAACTGGTAAATGTACAATTCACACGATTTTTCTGATATCTTAAGATGCAAGACCGCGAAAGTATGTCTCTTGTGAGTTGCGCCATAGACTCAAGATTTTGGTCAACCGATTCATGATGGTGACCGTAAAACTTATGTCGTGTATATTTCAATAGTTCTAATGAATAACCATGATGGAACAGTTTCCGCTTTTAACAAATTTCCATAATTAAAATGTCATTTTATAAATTTATTGAGTCTGACGCGATTTTCCGGACTCATCCATAAGGTCCGTATAATGCAAATATACACTCGAGTATCAATTGACATATTTTAAAAAGTCATATAAGAAGACATAGGATATTCTTTTTCTGGAAAATGGAAAGATGACAATGGGAAAGCAGTCATTATGTAGATGAATTTGGATTTAAACGAGTATCAAAACAAGTCAGCTAGAAAGGTGCAGAATTAGTACTCATTTGAATACTAACTGTTTGTTGAAATATAAATGAATCAAATTTAACAAATAAGTCGTCGATAAAAAAGTCCAGCATTTGTTTTACATCTTGTTGTTGTATTTATTGTTGGAATCAGTGTTCTTTACAATGTATTTAATCAGACAGTTTGGATTAATAGTAATGATTTACCTTAGGTTTTACCATAAAGAAAATGGTACCAAAGTGTAAAATGCCACTTTTTGGTAATTGATATATGCTAAAAAAAACAATGAAATAGGCGGATGATACCAAGGGGACACAGACTTTACAGTATGAGAATGCATTCTCAATAGAAATGCTGGTAACATTTAATGGATATCTAACGAATAGATGTTCAGTATTTCTGACATGATGCCCTTAGCCTATCAAGAGTTTATAAGGTTGCCGAATCAGGTTTTAATGCTCATCAACTTTGTACTTGTTTGGCTTTATAACTATTTTGATTTGATCGTCACTGATGAGTCTTATGTAGACGAAACGCGCGTCTGGCGTATTAAATTATAATCCTGGTACCTTTGATAACTATTAAAACAAGCAAACGGGCTTCTTTGAGTGAATTGAAATGACAATACTAGTAACATAACAATAATGAAAAATGAAATTTTACATAAAGACACACACGCGTGTCTTCCCGCAAAAGTGCATAAAATATATTTCTATGCTTTAACTCATATAATTTTTTAGTTTAATTGTGAAAACAAATATATTGTAGATACTATATATCAATTCCAAAATATTTTTCATTTTTACTAAAGTTATATTACTGCTGATATACATGTTTTGATGTTATCGTATAAATTGTATTTCTTATTGTTTTTAAATAATAAAACCGTCGATATGGATTTTTTTCTGTAGCGTCTAATGGCTAGGAGCTCAATCTATAGATCTGGTAAGAAAAATTAAAATGTTATGTGGGAATAGGGGGAAAACTTGTGCAAACAAAGGATTATACTGTATAAACATTGTTTAATCAACTTTTAATTTACAAGTGTTTTTTTACGACAGGTAATAGGTTATTTTTGTATGTGTATGAATTCTGTGTTTTTAATTAAAATAAATATGAAAGAAATAGAAACAAATATAAGTAAATCATCTTATTTCTTTTATAACACAAATTCAACAGTAGATTCAAGCAAGCATTATAATATGAAACAAACAATACAACAGCATTCACAATCACACATTGTAGCTCACACATTAGAAATTCACTGTATATAAATCTATTAAAGTTTATTAATCTATTTAACGTGAATAAGGTGGGAGGCTGCATCACCAAACTGTACTGTTGTGACTTCCTCGTTGCGGTGTCTAACCTTAAGCTTTTCTAATCTGTTGTTGATTTCGACATACTTTCGTTTTTGGGCCACTCTCTTCCCACCAGTTACATAGTGGATCATGGTTAGGGCGTTAATAGCTTCCTTATGTTTCAGTAGTTTTATGAATTTTAAGATGTTTGGATGTGGGTGCTGGATATGTTTCTTCAGCTTGCTGTGATATCCCTCTAGATGATTTTTAGTCCTCGTTTCCTGTGTTGTGTAATGGTTCCAAAAGGTGACTCTTCTGTGTTTGACCCAGTATGTTGTTACATAGTCTGTAAAGGGCGTGTAGTTGATGTTAGTATCAATCTGATCTATGTCTGTTATGTCATTAAACCACACATTTTTGACCTCAGCAGTAGGTACAAGTGGAAGGACAGCGGCATAGCGTACTAGTTGATGAATGTTGTTGTCTTCCTTGTATGAAACCTGAAGACCTGTTTCTTGTGCTTTTCTCCAGATGCATTGTTTGTAGTGGAAAAACAGCCTGTTGTGTTGATGCCAAGAAATACAGAAAATGCTGCATTTCGGATGGCGACTTCATAGTCCAGGACGATAGTGGTAGGCTGAAGTTGTAGTTTGTGTTGGTGGCATGCATCTTTGAGTAAAGTCAGGAACTTTGTGTATACTAGTTCGCTCTTAGTTGGAAGTAAACTGTGTACCAGTGGATACATTGCGCCGTCAACCATTGCGAGAAATGTGCAAAGTTGGAAGAATAGGCTCGGACAGGAGTAAAATGTACCATCACCATATACGATATCTGCAGATGCTAAGTGTGTTAGATTCTTTTGAGTACTGAAGATTAACATACGCCCAAGTGTGTTGTCGTCTGTTAATCAAATCCGATTGCTGTCCGTTTATTATTCATGCTTAGAGGTAAAGTGAACAGTTTTCACCCATTATTTTACATCTTTGATTATTGGTCCAAGTAATATTATTGTTAGAGTATACTTTTTTTTCAAATCTTAAGATTATATTTTGTTTTAATATTATCTATCATCAATTTATTTGTTCGGATGACAATTTTTTTAAGTTTACAAATTCAATGATATTTTAATCTTACTTCTATTTATCTGACTTATTGTTTATTTTTAAGTATTTGTTTGAAGAAGAAAAAACATATAAAAAATAAACAGTGTATTATTTTTTTTTTAAATAATAGTATACGTAAACAGTGTAAGAAATATGTTTTCTTTTAAAAATACAGGTAAATCTTATGTGAATTTTTAATTAACCTTGATTGTTATAAAAACAAATTATTTATCAAAACATCTATTGTTATTTGAATGTGGGAATAGAAGGAATAGTGATTTTCAAAAAAGGGGGAATAGGAGGAAGACACCGTTGTCACCGTTACAATGAGTTATATTACACATAATTGACAAAACGTATAATGTAGCAAACTTTATTCAACTGGATATAAAGTTAATCAATTTATTTCCCATCTTGAAAATGTTGTAAGTGTTTGATATTCCTTGCTTAAAAGATGACCTTTATGATAATACATATTTCCTAAATAAACAGTTGTCGTACTTAATTATAATCCCAGTAGAACTATCGTCATCAGCGACCTGTTCTGAGTCTGCGTGTATTTTTCCGCAAGCCTTTCCATCAACAACCAACTCTGCTCAAAATTCTCCAATATATCCGTCGGTTATTCTAGAATCTACACAGACTGTCCAGATAAAGGCATACATTCCGCTAGATGGTGCTTTGGATATACCTGTATTAGTGTTGAAGACACCAGCTGTGTTGGTTTCTTTCATGTCGAAGATCGGGTGATGGGTTTTCACATTCTTCATCATCGAATGTAAGCAACAATTTGCCATCTTACATCCTACAACAATGAGCAAAACTCATACCGGATATTGAGATATAACAGGGCTCGACATGACACAATATAGAACAATAAGAACGTAAAAAACAACGACCTGATTTATGTACAAAACAAACCAAACATAATAGACAGCAATCAACGACAACCACTAAATTACAGGCATGGAAATTAAAAATGTGACAGAACATGATTGTGAGAGTTAAACCCTCCATTAACCGTGGATAGTGGTGTAACAACAAAACTTAAGAACAAAAAATTAGAAAGACTCATCAGATCGACAAAAAGCCATAAAAAACCACTAACAAAAATACTAATGACACAAAAAACCGATCTGAAACTACTGGCAGTTACTGAAAGCTAGTTCAGAGCCAAATACAACATACCGTAATATAGTTACAATGAATACGCGTTTATTCTTGAAAAAGAAACCATGAGCCCTGATGGCGAATGGTTTGTTTTTCATGAATCATCACTTATCCATTGTATCTATAACTTAAACTATTGTGTTAATGTCTTTTCAAAATTAAAGCCTTTTCTTAATTAGAAGGTATTGTAAGTGAGTTTAAATAACCATGTTATCATGTTCAACGATGCATTAATAAATATAAGATCACAATTAATTGGTTAGAAAAATACAAATATAACACAACACGTCTGCCTTTAAATTATCAGGTATCTGAATATTATATGTGTTTACAAAATAAGACATATTCGAGCTTATTTCTATAAAATTGAGAATGGATATGGGAATGTATCAAAGAGACGACAACCTGACCAAAGAGCATATATAAAGTATATATAATAAGTATGTTACCGAAATTTCTAGCAAGAAGCCTAATTCTAGGCACACCACGATTTAATAGCATAGGAATTTGCGAATAAACATTTGTAAAATTATGTAGTAAAACAGATGAAATCATTCTATATTTATAAAACAAAAATGGACAAATTGAATGTAATCATTTTCGTTTCAAATATGTGAAATAGACAACAATAAACGGTAGAACTCGCTATTATTACAAAAATATCCACAATTACATACAAAATAAAAAAAAAAAACCAACAGAAAAACTACATAATAGGGACAACAAAGAGAATACAGGGATTCGACCTAAACCGACAAGTCCCTACCATTTAATTGACTCTTTAACTCATTGTTTTGAACCATGCTAACCTCGCGGCTACGAACTTATACTATACGATTGCCTATTATGTATATATAAAGGTACAAGCCCTGTGTGTCCGTTGTACCGACGTTTATCATATGTTCATTTATATATATAAAATAGACATTTAAATTGTAACCCATTGGTAGCCGAGAGGTTTCGTCGATATGTTGATGTGAGTCACACATAACAGATTTCAAGGACGGGTTCGATTCCCAGTGAAGGCATATAGAAATTACAAAAATTGAAGGTAAGTTTTTAAATTAATTCCATTAGTGAACAGAAATCAGTAAATTAGCCAATTCAAACTTAATGAAATTAGACACACAAATGAAACAATTGAATATAATTTGGTGAATCCATTTCAGCGACAGATTTAGGAAGCGTTGATTCTAGAAAAAGAATCCACGGTAAATGAATAGGCTGACGTCACGACAATGGTTTTGAACAGATATATCATGTTAAGGAGGGGTATTTGCGTAAAATACCAGTCGAGAGAATGTTAAATTTCGCGAGCCGTAAGACTGGTATTTTTCGCAAATACCCCTCAAGAACATGCTATATCTGTTTAATTACACCGAATGTTAACGTACAAAACGCATTGATGATCGTGACATAAAACGCATTGATGATCGTGACATTACAAGCGTCCAGTCGGATAGAGCATTTTTTGGCAAATACCACGGCAGAGAGGGTAAAAAAGGCATATCCTTTTTGCATATACTCCGGCGCTGTTTAAAAATGAACGATATTCATTTGATAAAAGTAAATAGGTGAAAAATACACTGGCTATCAACCAATCAAAACCCAGGATTCTTACATAAGGTGTAATTAAATAATAAATACATCATGTTTCCAGTCTAGAATATCAATCAGTACACATCCAATGGATTTAGTTCAAGGACTTCATAATTAGTCCGAGAAAAAACATGGCTGTGCAATGCCAAAATATAAGTATCTACAGGATTAAGGACAACAAGTGTTCAAACCTGTACAAGAAACATACTTTTATAGCTGACTGTGCGGTATGGGCTTTGCTCATTGTTGAAGGCCGTACGGTGACCTATGATTGTTAATTTCTGTGTCATTTGGTCTCTTGTGGAGAGTTGTGTCATTGGCAATCATGCCACATCTTCTTTTTTATATATGAGATATGTTTTAATTTATTACTAACAAAATCAACAGTAGTAGCGATAAAACAATTTTCCAAGATTTTATTACAGCATTAAACTGATAACCTTTTAGAATTTAGAAGTTTAATCATAGGATCTATAAGATTTCATGGATTGTTTCATAACTTCTCCATGTTAACCGAAATTCGAATCTACTATAATTGATAGCAAAGTCTTCGATTTAGGACCGCAAGTGTTAATAACTGTATAACCGAAATTTGGATCAACTAAAATTGATAGCAGAGAGTATTTAACTGCCTTTAGTGCATGTGTACGTAGGCCAAGATAAGTACCTCCTACATTCAAAATAAAACGATTCTCCTTATATTTTTGCACAAAAATTATATTTCTCACCTCGATGGCTTGACGTATTTGTTAGGTAATGGTTGTTTCCACAGACATTTGATAAGCTTCCACTAGTATAAGAGATGATTATTTAAAAGTCAATCGGATAATAATATCTAGCAGTGAAACTTTCTAAATCTGTATAAATGGATCAAGGAGGATTAGCAATATCAATATGTTTATAAATTTCTAAACGTGAAGAAAAAGACACATGCGAGGTTACAAAATTCAGTTCTGCGTGTTTCAGTTTGTTAACGGCTGTCAATGGAACAAAGTGATACGAATTCGATGCATGAGCACTGGATGATCTGTATGTTGTTGGTGATGAGAACTCATTATTTCGTCTTGTACTGGCATACTTGACTGACTGGCTGATTGTTGAAGCTGTTACGGTACGTAGGACATCTATTATGGTAGAAGTTTTACCTTTTTAACTAACTAGATGGCTGTCATGCAAGACTTTTGAATCTAACGATCTTCATCTTCGCTTCGGTTATCCTGCAATTTTCATCATCCTCTCCGTCGATTTTCCCATCTGGTCCTTTTTAAAATGGTACACATTGGAGTTCATTTTCCCTCTGTTGCATCTCCACTGTGTATCATCACCACCGGATATAGGTACCCTTGGCCTGGTTCTCTGTTCAATTGTCTAAGAAAAACTACATTCCTGTGCATATACCAACATATAGGTACCCAGGTAGCTATACGCTGGTATTTGTACAGTAATGTTGTTTTTCTTAGACAATGAACAGAGAACCAGGCCAAGGGTACCTATATTCGGTGGTGATGATACACAGTGATCTTGCATTCCTTTTTTTGAAGTTAACTGTCAGACAAAGAACAAACGTTCATTCAGAGATAATGAAAATAGAAAAATGTTCAAAACCTTACAATTAAATATATAAATACTTGTCTAACAGATATAACACATGACCCGAGAAACACTGGTGACCATTCACATAATTAAACATCTGTAGTATCAAGACGTGAATTATCAGTAAACATATTATACTTGTTTAATTTTCATGCAGATATGATTGTTCCAGAAAAAAAAAACCAATGTGGTTGCAATTATTTACCGATCTTTCACGTCTTGACACTACATTTTCCATTTTCATTTTTTCATTATCTCTGAATGAATGTTTGTTCTTGGTCTGACAGTAAACTTCAAAAATACATTATGATCAACCAGACACATATATATGTCTCTGAAACAACCAATTCTTCAATGACTCCTTATTTTGAATTTCGTCTGATTCACTATTTGTTTGGGTGTGATGTTTAATAGATCATAATTTATTTTCGTTGATTAAAAATGAGCACCTAAATCTGAAGATTACGTGTGTCAAAACCGCGAATAACTTAAAAACTTTTCAGTTTCAGTTCATCTTCAACAGCCAGGACATGTCCAAACAATAATTGTATAGGAACTGTAATTGATATAGCAGTTGTTGTCCATTCGTTCCGTTGGTTGGTATAATTGAACTTTTGGTTTTGTCGATTTTTATCGATAACCCCCTTTTTAACTCACCTGAACCAAAGGAAAGTTAACACCTGAATGACCTGATGCATTTCAGTTATTGTGGTGATAGCTCTCTATATTTTCTGTTAGATCAATGCCATGTTAAATATCCTACAAGTTTTTACATTACCTATAAAATAGACTAGAACGTACATAGAGAGTATTCCACCTTGCCCTGTTGTATTTGTTAGACGGAGCAAGATTGTTCATTTCTGAACAATCTGGTTCACAATATCTCGAATCTCTTAGTAGTATTATTTTTAGTATTATTTTTAGGTCTAATAGTTGGGCCATTCAACTGTTCTTATCTTATATTTTCAATGCTTATGTCCTGTAATATTATTTCAGAATCAACTTGAACATTTTACTTAATTGAATCATCTACGCCTACATAACTTTGGTTCTCTTAATGTAAATAGCGACCAGTTTTCTTCTTTAACTCATCTTTCAATTCCGCAATATTTGCAATATAATTCTCCAGGCCTTCTGGGCTAGTCATTTGTATCGCACGACTAGGGCCTCTCCTGTAAACAATCTCGAAATCATATTTGAAAAAACTCCTTTCAAACCACCCGAGCTTGTTTGAATTTGAAGTTTCTGAACCATGTTAAGGATCTATTATCTGTCTTTGCTATGAAATGTGTTCCCGAAAGGGAACAACAAAAATGTTTCTTTCAAAATTTTATGTAATAAATTAAAATTTGGATTTGGATTTTCACATTTAAGACACATCGGAATAATTTATTCATGACAGAAAGTGTACAAAACGAAAGTGTATATATCAATTCTTTATAAAGTAAAGTTGTTGCACACCTAGGCCTGCTTCAATGATTACAAGTCCGTAGGTGTTTAGTCTTAGTTAATGTAGCCCACACTGTATCTTTTGTCAAATATTTAAAAAATTAAGATCACAATGAATAATGCGCTTCCGAATAAAAGCAGTCTTAAAAATTAGCACAAAAAAAAACTAAAACAAAAACAAACAAACAAACACAATACAAACAAACAAACAAACCCAAAACCAAACACAAAACAATGATAACAGTAAAGTTTTAATACCTTCAAATGAACAAGTGCAAATGAGATAATTCCCTTTGTTTTATTTTTCAATGGATAAGAATAGCATTACTATGTACCCAATAATTTGTTTAATACACTGTATATCATGCATGAATTACTTTTTGAAACTATTTAAAATCAAATAACATTTAAAGATAGAGTAGACACATACGTATTAAGTTTGTTCCGGTATACATGGGAATATTTTTATGAAAAAGTACATAATTGAAAATGTATTTTCTGTACCTGGTAATAGGTGAGTATTTTTTTTTCTTTTTGACTTCAAAGACTTAAACGAATGATTTTCATCATCACTTTAAAAAAGGATAAATTTCCGTATTTTCAATTTGTTTCGTCTCGTGTTCTTATAGATGTTTATTTTAATGTATTGTATTTTATCTACACTTTTTAAACCTTTTTATTATTCTTATTATTTTTAACCTTTTATATATTTTTAACAATTTTTATATATCATCATCACCGTTACCGTCAAGTACTCTGTTAAGAATATATAATACACGTTTCTTTGTGTGCCATTGCAACAAACCAGGAACACGAAGTTAATCCAGATTCACGACAATAAACAAGGATATACGAAACAGTAAAAATGTTTGTAGTTACGATTTATAGATTGAATGTTGATTACTTAACATTAATTGTCGTTAAGACACAGAAACACACATTAAGAGTTGACCTCTCAGACCGAAATTGTGAATTGTTCGCTCTTTCCCAAAATGAGTTTGGCGTTTCCTTTTACTATAGAGGACATCCTATTTGAGACTAGAGTCCGACCCATAAAAGTAACATGCTTTGGTGTGTCGTTAAACCTCAAAATAGTGTGTTGGGACAAATTTAAGGGATATCGTAAAAACAAGGATATGTCGAGATCCATATAATCTATCTTGTGCTCTAACATATGAGGCCAGTCAAAAACGATCACTTGATCTACAACGTCAGACAATTATTCTTCAGGGCTTAACAGTGACACATTTCAGTATAACTTACGATAAATTGTAATCGTAAGAGTTTTTGTGAAAAGAGTCGCAGGGACTCTTTTCACAAAAAATCTTACGACTAAAATTGATCGTAAGTTATACTGAAATGTTCATGACTTACGAGTGTTTTTACTCGTAAGATTTTTTTGTGAAAAGAGTTGCTGATAAGTAAACGTTATTCTTATCCTCTTGAAGTCATTTTACGAATTCGACTTCACATAATTACAAAAGATTCGATACATGACTGTACCTGAAAATCAAATTATCATGACCATTAAAGTGAACATTATTCTTGTCTTCTAAAAAGTGTTGCAATATTGACTGTTTACTAAGCATTCAAACTCTGGAGTTCAGTGGTTAGTTCATGTCTATGGCACGCGGGAACTACATTTATTAGACCATTATAGATTTACGGTCGACCATTATAGATGGACGCCGTAAATTAATCTTAACTATACTTTACGGTCGTAAATGCATTTACGAAATCTTCGAAGACTATCTATCATTGACGACTGTAAAAGCATTTACGGTCGTCAATCTATAATTGATCTCGAAAATGTATTTTCAGTTACCCGTAAATGCATTTACAATAATTCGTAAATGGATTTACGCCTGATTTTTAGCAACAATTCATATGTACCCAATGAAAATGTGTTATCGTAAAGGCTAATTGAATAGTCCAATAATATCCATCGAAACAAACAAAAACAACTTTTAACCCGCAATTTACAACTAAAAACAATGATTCCGTCATATTTGTTTTTCGTAAATTGTGTTGTTATAAATTAGGCCGTTAGTTTTCTCGTTTGAATTGATTCACATTTTTTCATGGCGGGACCTTTTATAGTCGGCTATATGGTACAGGTTTTTCTCTTGGGTGAAAGCCGTCCTTTGACTAATAAATGCAAACTTCCTTATCATTTGATCTGGTGAATAGCTGTCTCATTGGAAATCATACCACATCTTTATATATATATATATATCCAGCAAGTCAAATACAAATTTTGCAGTTTGTACCTTTTGTTACTCCAGTTATTGAGATTAAAAGGACCAGAGTTTTGATATAAAACTATAACCGTTTAACCCTGTCAAATATTCATGCGCACCCCCCCCCCCCCCCCCCCCCCCTAAAAAAAAACCTCATTAGGGGTTGTCATATCTTTATGTTGTTTTTTTTGAAATTTTGATGGCAGAAAGTGTCTGTGAAATGTAATCACGACTTTTTTTATTTAGACTCGAAGCAATTTAAAGCTTGGCAATAATGTATTGACACCAGCCTATTGTTGAACATCGTATGCAAATCTGTAGATGTCTTATAGTTTAGTCTCGTTGGTTTGCTTTCTCGTTGACGTGTAACAAACACTATTTTACCTTCCTTCACAATATTTTGATATATTGTCTAATTTGATATATTGTCTATTTTGACATAAATGAAATTCAAACATAAGAAAAACTTTTAGTTTTAGCATTTGCTTCCACCAATCTTTAGCAGGAACACTAAAGAGTAAACAAAATGACTACAAATGTTATCAAACAGGGCTAAAAAAAATATTTATTGCTTTTTCAAATCAAGCCTCTAAATGATCAAAATTAGCGTATGTCAAACTGCTATTCGATGAGATTATTTCTGTAAATTGTGTCGTTCAAATTTATTGAAATTTTCATATTTGTCAACAGGTCAAAGTAAATATTTTATCCAAATATCATTAAAACTAAACGATCCAAACCTATCATAGTCAACGTGTTGGCTACCCCCCTTAAATTATATATTGAAATTAAACATATGTAGACCACAAATCCAATACAGCAGGTTATCAAACTTGTTCAAAAGATTGTTTTGTTAATATATATACATGCTAAACAACTTTACCTTAAAATATCGATGATTTAAACGGTTAATAATCTATCAGAAAGAAAAGGTTAGACACAGTTCATTACAATAGAGGAAAATAGGTACAGCAAAAAATGTCTTTGGTTAGAACGTTGAAGGATCTTATAAAGTGTCATTTAACTCTTTTGTTAAGCTAGTGCATTTATAGTTCGCAAAAGTGGTAATCAATACGTGAATAAACTAATAATCTGAAGTACATGTAAAATAAAATGATTACTTACATAAATATTTTTACATTTTTGGAAGATATAATATTATTTTGTATGAGCTATAGAAACAGGAAGTGAAGCGAGGCTTGAATACTGAGCTTTTTTCCTATTTGTATTCAGTAGTAAATGCTTCGGTACTGATTTACAACACACTTTTCTTGAATTAATGAAAAAAGTTAATGAGAGAAAGTATTAGGAAACTAAAGTTCCAACTCCTCAGGCACAGATGGACGTGTAAAAATGTCTTGTGATAATCATCAGGACATTAAAATATAGTGAACAATGTTTTAATCTATAAATTTGTCTGGCATTGCAGCGCTTCAGATTTTTTGATATGAAGTCATCCACTACTTGTATTACACATGTTACAGTTTTGGACGGCATGATTTTATATCATCAGTTTAAATATGACCAAAAAAGATATGATCACGGTATCTGCAAAGATTCTTTGATAAAGTATAATTGTTTTGTTCTACTTGTGTTCTAAATATAAACTAAGTCTATCCAAATTATTTTTGCAAAGAATTCCGCTCAAGCCGGTGCTAGGAGCCGTCTTAAACTTGCAGTGAGGTGAGAGTTTTTTTGCTCCGTGTAAAAGGCCTCACTGTGACTTTGAGATGAAGAACAGCAATAAAAGCGCTGTTCCTTTGCTTTTTGTGTGTTTTTTGCCGTGCATGTACTGATTTTGTGTCATGGATGGATACCCTTTATCCTTTGTTTTTCTATTAAACCGATTTTTTCCTCTTATGATCTTTGTTTTATGTATTTTAAATGTTAGACGAGATCTAAAGGGGATGGATGGGGTTTGGGATATAAAAAGTTTGTTTAACATCTCTCCGTGTTGTATACGTTTATGTGATTTCCCTTCAGGACCCCCACCAGTGCTTTATTGTTGATGGTAGATATTTAATAAACTTTGTTAAATTCATTCGTACCTACATGTTTGCCCTTAGTATAATCTTGTAAAGACAACTGTCCTATTGTAATTGAAGACTGTGTTGAGATCGAGATATCCTTACGTTATTAGTGTCTTTGTGTTGTTTCGTTTGCGTAAACCAACATCTTATTTTAGATACAATAGGTACACCGAATTTCTCTAACATGAACTTTTAATAGTCTGTTCACATCAATTTGCTAATGGACTTCATTTTAAATTTTATTTTGATAATCGAAAATCTACAATATGTACGACTATATTAGATGTTTAACATTCATCACATCACTGGATTTAATTGCCAATCACTAGCAGGATATAACATTACACACTTTCTACCTGGATAATTGACAAGTACTGCATAACATCGCATAAAACATGAATTAAATCTGTTAACGAATAAAAAGAGATGTTTGATCTACCATTAGACAGCAACCAAACGACAAAAAAAAAAAAAAAAAAAAACAACAGAAAAACACGTAGATGTCAACAGACTGACAGAACAAATGACAAGTATTTAAACAATGTCAAGATCAAAATCTTTCCTTGTCTAGATAAGTTGTAAACAAATTAAACAAAGTCTACCAATTACCTGCCATCAATGACAAGTCTCCCCTTTATACTCTTTGAATGAACCAATTGTAAAATATTGTGGTAAATTGAACCTCATTATCCAGGAAAGGAACATTAGCAGTAGGAATTTAAAAGTCGGTTCCCTTCAACTTTTAGTACAAAGATTACAATGCGAAATTCTTATCTCAACGTTTAAGAAGGAAAACGCACACTATAAAGTCGTATTGAGTACGAGTTGAAGCGGGTGATGTTTGTTTGTACATGTATACTCCGTGGATTTTACCGCTGTAAGGTAAAATTATATTAAACAGTTTATGATTGTTAAGGTCTTTTTCAGTCATATAGCTCTTAAAATTTTTCGGTTCTTATACATCCTTGGCGTTCAAATATTCGGCGTTGAGCGTTCCTGATGAAGGTAAATACAGAAAGCGCTTCGGACGCATGCAATTCATAAAATGTTGTTTTTATTTTTTTTCCAAAGAAAAATAGATAACACTTTAATTGTTGAAGCACATCCATGATTTAATTGATGTGTGGCCTACATCCCCTAATTACTATTTTATTTTTGCTTTCACCGAGAAAACTATTTGCAACTGCAGAAACGTGTTACCATGTTTAATTTTTTTTCGGGTTCATAGGCTTTTTAAAAAAACATCTGTTTCGAAAGGTGAATTTTAGAAAATAATAATTAATTTTGTAGTAACAGCAATTGTATATGGCCTACCTACCAATGATGACAACCACGAAAGCCTCAAGTTTGTCCAGGAGCATGCAAAGCCGCCAGTAAATAATGTTTTGGAGAGTATACTTATTGATCGAATGGAAAACTGGAGGTATGATCTATTTTATAAAGAGAAACTAAATGTAAAAATCATTCTGATTTAGTCAGTTTTGTTTGCGCATTAACCTATCCCGTATTCTATTAAGACCGGGACTCGTAAAAGCTTAATATACAGAACTGATATAAAAAAAAAACCTGCATAGTTCTGCTCCCAAAAGGATGACTTTTGAATTGAATACTTGCTTCCTAACTTTTACATTGCATATCATTTACGCGCCAAAAACTAACAAATGAATATTAAACCTATCATATTAGTCCAGTGCACATATAATTTCGAAAAGAAGCGAGGTTGAAAAACATCTGCTTGTCAAAACGACCAAAGGGTTAATACTATATTAGTATTTGAAAGGTGTTACGGCTATTTACAGGAAATTTCTTGACCAGAAAAAAAATAACATCGTACTACACGTAGATAATTATAGCGTTTTCTGTGTTTAAAATATGTAAGAAATGTGTACATTAAATAACCACACATGTGAAACGAAAGTGGAATTGGCATCACTTTATGTGCTAGACACTAATTTTATATTAATTCAATTATATTACATATATTCACGAACATTATCTTCCATTTGAACATTGTCCAGCTTTGTAGGACAACATTTTGTTATACAGGTCATAGTTCGTACAACATAATTAGTGTCAAGGGTTCAATCCATTGTTTGGTTAAGCCATCCTAAAAGAATGGTATTTGTTGCTTCTCTGCTCAGCACGCTGTATTTAAGAGTAAGAGCCAAGACTTGTCGGCTCTAAGTCAGAATAACCCGTCCGGGCAGGCAAATTTATCTTCCTGCAGCGTATCGGACTAATAAAAAACAAGGTGCATATTCAATCATATCACATCATATTCTTGTCTTGATATGAAAGTTATATTTGCCACTGGAATTTGGACACCAATCAATTCAGTCGTTTTAATTCGAAATGCTGTTATGTGTTGATGTTTGGTTTACTTCATTACATAATTGTATTAAAAAAACGGGTCGCAGCTTCGTAAAGCAAAGTTTCGATCTATACAGATTTATTTTTGCTTTGATTTTTCCGTTTTAGTTTTTATGCTTATAAAATTTGTAAATCTGTATTTGGCTTTCAAAATTTAGTATCGAAGGTTATACTATTTGTTTTTGTGCAATTAAGTTTTATGGCCATAAGAAAATTTTCACATTATGTTTATGCAATAAAATGGTTTTTATATATGAACACTGGACACTTTTAATTTGCAAAACACTCATTTGCAAATCCGCCGCCGCCTCTCCTTAGACCTACATTGTCATGTAAATAATCAAAATGTGCGGAATTACATGGGATTCAATAATTTCATTGCTTTTCTGCTGTTATTATTATACATATTTTGTAATTTGATTTAGAAAAACATGGGATTTTCAATATCCCATGGGATATGGCAAATCCCATGGGATTGACCATTATCCCATGGGATTTTGGTTAAATCCCATAGGATTTTTTTGGGTCCCATGGGATAATTGTAGTCCCATGGGATATTTGTTGTCCCATGGGACAAAAAAAATCCCATGGGACTATAATTATCCCATGGGATTTTTAATATCCCATGGGACAAAATAAAATCCTATGGAATTCAAATTATAAATATACAGTAATGTGTATGTTACAATGAATTCTGTTTGGTAGTAAAAAGTTTATAATATATATATGAGTGTATTTTGTTTTTTTTTTCATTTTATCACAAACATGTTTTTAATTTGTTTATATGACAATAATGATTATTATTATTTTGGAAATATAATAATATTTAAAGTAAAAAAATAGAATCCTTTAACTGAAATAAAATGATGACGTCTTAATAAAAGAAAAAAATATTGATTTGAAATCTTTGTCTTCTTTGTTTTATTATGAAAAATAGAACTGAAAAAAATATTTCATATTCTGACTGAATAAATTGACAAAGCACAGTTAATAGTTTACTCTTTTCATGAGGTAAAGTTTTCTTTGTTATAGTTCCATTGCAATACATGAATATGCAAACGATTTGAATCTTATTCCTTTGTGGTGTTCATAATATGACATTTATATTTGTAAATTTATAAAATAAACACTTTTCCTGTTAAGTTTTAGTTTTCTTGTTTCAGCTTGCTATGAACAATTATTCAGTCCACTATATAAGAGTCAAGTAAATAAATTATTTCATTCACTAGAATATTCCTACAATTCTTAGACAAAACATTTTTGCAATCTGTTCTTCCAAAATCTTCCTCAGTACATCTTTATTGGATGGAGCGATTTAAATGAGTGGACAAAGCAAGTTCATTTAGACAACAAAATACTAATATATTTTTTCATTCCTCCCTTCTTTCAATTGATAATTACGTTGTTGCATTTACATGATTAAGTTCTTGAGCATCTATGATCATGATGATATGACTCCTTTTTGTTTATAGTCATTATGTTGAAATTTCCTCTTTCTCATGTAGGTAAAAAAACACATTCCATTTCAAATTAATAAAAAAGTCACACTATGTAGAAAAATATCAACTTTAAGTTTGCTGTTCAGTATTGACCTGTTGAATGATGATCATGAAAACCAAGATGTCTGACCTACAAATACACAAAACTCAAAAATTATAAATGAAGAGAAATACAGCAATAAAATGGCTATTTTATCATGTTTATGTACATTTAGATAAAAATTTCATTTGAATATTTAAAATTGTAACAACTCTTATTTCAGTGCTTTGTGTCTATGGTTTTCATATTGGTGGTTTTTTGGGCCTTGTTGCAGTCTTTTGAGTTAAGCCAATTGCAACAAATGTTTACAGTTTGTTCAAATGTTGTGCTGTTATTAAAACCACTGTCCCAGGTTAGGGGTGGGTTGGGTGCTCACTAAATGTTTATTTTATTAGTTGATATTTGCTTTAAATTAGCTGTCAGTAACTGTGAGTACTAATAGATCTGTATGTTGAGGGAAAGAATAAATTTCCAGTCACATCCGGTCTGTGTTTTTGGTAGCTGTTTTTCTGCTTTGTTGCATTCTAATGAGTTAATAAAATTGAGAATGAAAACGGGAATGTATCAAAATAACCTGACCCAAGAGCAGAAAAAACCCCTTTTCAACTGATTTTATAGTTTTTATATTGAACTGACACTTACACCACTGTCCTTAATAAGAGGAGGATTTGGCGCCAGCAAACATGTTAAACCATGCCACATTTTGTAAGTGTCTGTCCCAAGTCAGGGGTCTATTATTCAGTGGTTGTCAACTGTTGCTATATATCATATTTGTTTTTTGTTAATTGTTTTGTGCAAAAATCAGGCACTTAGCTTTCACCTTTGTGGTGTTTCCCCCAAGCATGTTTAGCATGGATAGACACCATGCCCTTTTTAAATGACACCATGCCCTTATTGAATTGTTCTACATTTGTTATTTCATGGCCTTTTATGGATTACTATGCAGTATAGGGTTTGCTCATTGTCGAAGGCTGTACAGTGAACTAATTTTGTTAAATTTAATGTCATTTGATCTCTATTGGAGAAAAGTCTCATTGGCAATCGTACCGCTTCTTATTTTTATATCAACCCTGCCATATTTTGCCTGTCATTATTTACAGGTCATCATTGGCCTCTAATAAGTAATTGCATTGCTTACATCCACTTAATTGAACTCTGGTGGATAGTTTTCTCATTTATCATACCACATCTTATTTTCAAAATAATCATTATTCAAGGGCAATAACTTTTATAGAAGTGGACTTACCATTTAGGCTTTGTTGACGTCTGTAAATCTATTTTTGTTGATAATTTCTTTTGTTTATAGTTTCCCTTTATCTTTAATGTTCTTGCCCTACACATAAAAGGGTAAACATTATCATTTAATGACAATAACTACTATTACTATTACTACTATAACTGATATTACCGCAGAGGTCGAACCCTGAACAGTTGGGGCAAGTATGGACACAACATTCAAGCTTAATACAGCACTAAATTTGGATTGTGATTAAATATTTGACACAGCACAGGTTTCTGACACAGAATGAATGTGGTCTAAGAACTTAAAAAATTTTAATTTACCTATTTCTGATTTATATATAAATTCAAACCAAATCATTATTATTTGCATTTATATATAAATCAGAAATAACCAATTTAAAATGGAAAATTTTAAAGAAAAAAAAAGGAAAAAAAGGGAAAAAAAAATCCCCCCCCCCCAAATTTTTTGAACCCCCTTATGATTCATCACCCCAAACTCAATCCCAGCCTTCCCTTTGTGGTATGGTACCTTGCAGTACAATTTCAGAGAGATCCATACACTTATACACAAGTTATTGTCTGGAAACTAGAAAAATGCTTGTTTTTTTGGCCCCTTTTTGGCCCCAAATTCCTAAACGTTTTGGGCAATTACCCCCAAACTCAAACCCAGCTTTCCCTTTGTGATATGGAAACTTGTAGTACAATTTCATAAAGATCCATACACTTACACACAAGTTATTGTCCTGAAACTAGAAAGATGCTTGTTTTTTGCCCCTTTTTGGACCCTTATTCCTAAGATTTTGAGGCAATTACCCCCAAAATCAATCCCAGCCTTCCCTTTGTGGTATGGTACCTTGCAGTACAATTTCAGAGAGATCCATACACTTGAACACAAGTTATTGTCTGGAAACTAGAAAAATGTTTATTTTTGGCCCCTTTTTGCTAAACATTTTGGGCAATTACCCCCAAACTCAATTCCAGCTTTCCCTTTGTGATATGGAACCTTGTAGTACAATTTCAGAAAGATCCACACACTTACACACAAGTTATTGTCATGAAACTAGAAAAATTCTTGTTTTTTGCCCCTTTTTTGGCCCCTAATTCCTAAAATTTTAAAGCAATTGCCCCCAAAATCAATCCCAGCCTTTCCTTAGTGGTATGGTACCTTGCAGTACAATTTCAGAGAGATCCTTACACTTGAACACAAGTTATTGTCTGGAAACTAGAAAAATGCTTATTTTTGGCCCCTTATTCCTAAACGTTTTGGGCAATTACCCCCAAACTCAATTCCAGCTTTCCCTTTGTGATATGGAACCTTGTAGTACAATTTCAGAAAGATCCATACACTTACACACAAGTTATTGTCATGAAACTAGAAAAATGCTTGTTTTTTGCCCCTAATTCCTAATATTTTGAGGGAATTACCCCCAAAATCAATCCAAGCATTCCCTGTGTGATATGGAACCTTGTGGTACAATGTCAGAGAGATCAATACACTAACACACAAGTTATGTCTGGAAGTTACAAAAATGCTTATTTTTGGCCCCTAATTCCTTAACTGTTGGTACCATAACCCCTTAAATCAATCCTTATGGTAAAATTTCATAGAGATCCATTCACTTAAACTAAAGTTAGAGTGCGAAAACCAATGTGTCTTTGGACGACGACAACGCCAACGTCATACCAATATATGACCGCAAAATTTTTTTGCGGTCGTATAAAAAACCAAGAAAACTTAGCATTGACCAAAGTACCATAATATGCAATCATGGTTATATGAATCTGCCAGACAGACATGAACACCTTACAATCGTTACATCCGCCAAATATAATTTACCTGTTGCTTAAAGCATATGATAAACTGACAAAACAATGCAAACTTTTCATTGACCAATGAACCATGAAAATGAGGTCAAGGTCATATAAAACATGCCAGACAGACATGTGCATCTCACAATCATTCCATTCACCAAATATAGGGGCCTTATTCATGTTATTGCTTACAGTATCCAAAAAAAAAACCACAAAAACTAAACATTGTCCAATGTACTATGAAAATAAAGTCAAGGTAAGATGAAACTTCTCAGTCAGACATATGCACCTTACAATCATTACATACACCAAATATAGTTGATTTATTGCTAATTTGAAAATAAGAAAATAGAAAAACTGACCAAAAAACAAAATAATAACATTGAGCAATGAACCATAAAAATGAGGTCAAGGTCGAATAAAACATGCCAGACTAACATGTACATCCTTAAAAATTTTCATACACCAAATATACTTGACATGTTGCATACAGTATTAGAAAAACTGGACATTTTTACCTAGGAACAGTGATGTCATGGACTAGGAAAATTAGTCTGGGGACATAGATTACTGACATCGGACTAAATAAACTAGTAAATTCTGTATCCATGGACTTTTTATACTAGTTATATTTGTCTGACCAGACAATTTATCTCTTACACTAGTTCTCAGAGAGACATGTCACCTTACCTTGACACATTATTCTGACTCTGAACAAACCAGTATTTGCTCTTACTCCTTAATAATACTGCGTGCTTAGGGGAGAAGCAGCAAATACCAACTTTAAAGTCTTTGGTTTTACCCGGTTGGGTTCAAAATAAACAACCTTCTGCACGTGAGGTGAACACGCTACCATGAGACCAGGCAGTATAATATAAGGAGTTTACCCAAGATTTAAAGTTTCCAAGTTTTTGCAAAAACTGGATCAAAATCATCATTGAAAAGCAATAACTTTTTAATAAGATTCAAGTTTCTCTTTAATTATTACAGTTTTCGAGATAAAAAGGCAAATTCAAGAAATATGAAGAAGAAAAAAAATGGTTAAAATCTGTATTTAAGGCAACAGCTCCTATGAGTCAGCTGCCAGTTTTGATGCAAATGGACAGTAGATTTTTTTTTCAACATTCTGAACATTTCTACCCTTTTCAGATATTGTCTATCTATTTTAGCCTTTTGTAGCTTATTACGCAGTTTGGCTTTTTAGCCCATTGTTGAAATCTGTACGGTGACCTATATAGTTGTTAACTTCTACGTTTTTTAATTTCTGTTGAAGAGCCGTCACATTGGCAATGATACCATATTTGTATATGTTTTTGTCATGTAGGTGTAAGGAGACAACCTTTTGATTTTCTGGTGGGATAAAAAGGGGAGACAGATTTTTTATCACCTGGCCTGGTAAGTTTTTCAGGGTTCGTAAGGATAGAAAACCCCGCAAATTGTAACAAACCCCTGTGGTACGACCATATTTGCCAAAAGATAAGTCCAAATAATTATGACGTCTTGCAAGGCTATTTGAACTTTTTTCTGGGCACGTAATAGTCAAAGTTGTGACTGAGTGCGGAAATATGAAGATAGATAGATAGAAAAATTATAAAGGGACATAACTGAAGAACGGTAAAAGTGACGCTACCCAAATTTGAACTTGATCTGAGTTTTGTGGTAATAAGCATTGTGTGTAAGTCTCATAACATTTGGTTGAGGCTAACTTAAGTAGAGAACAGAAACTAAAGATTCAGCAATTTTTCTATTTGTAAACACGCATAACTCTAGAACGGTTGTGTATAAGTTTTATAACATTTGGTTGAGACAAACTAAAGTAAGAGAACGGAAACGAAAAATTCAGCAATTTTTATGTTTATAAATGGACATTACTCAAAAATGGTAAAAGTGTCGCCACCAAATTTCGTACTTAATCTGTATTATGTAGTAATAGGCATTGTGTATAAGTTTCATAACATTTGGTTGAGGCAAACTAAAGTTAGAAAACGGAAACAAAAAATTTGTACTTGATCTTAGTTTTATGGTAATGAATATTGGGTATAGGTTTCATAATGTTTGGTTGGGGCAAACTTAAGTTACAAAATGGAAACTAAAAATTTGCAATCTTTCAATTTATAAAGGGGCATAACTCAATAATGGTTAAAGTGACACTACCCAAATTCAACTTGATCTGTGTTTTATCAGTGGAAGTCAAAATTAAACATTGCATTGTATAAAGCATTGATTGTAGTTGATTCAACTATAATAATGGACAAAGGAAGATAATTCCAATTTTAAAAATTACTTGATATTTAGAAGAAAATAAATATTTTGCAATTTTTCCATTTATAAAGGGGCATAACTCTAGAACGGTTAAAGTGACGCCACCAAAATTCAAACTTGATCTGTGTTTTGTGGTAATAAGCATTGTGTATAAGTTTTATAACATTTGTTTGAGGCAAACTTAAGTTAGAGAACGGAAACTAAAAATTTAGCAATTTTTCCATTTATAAAGGGGCATAACTCTAGAACGGTTAAAGTGACGCCACCAAAATTCAAACTTGATCTAAGTTTTGTGGTAATAAGCATTGTGTATAAGTTTTTACTTTAACATTTGGTTGAGGCAAACTCAAGTTAGAGAACGGAAACCAATTTTGGGACGTACGGACGTATGTACGTACAGACGGACAAGGGTAAAACTTAACGCCCCCACCGCTACGGCGGGGGCATAAAAAAAATAAAATAGCCTTGCTAGACGTCATAATTATTTGGACTACCAAAAGATGTAACCTAATTCTTACTTGTTTGGGGAAGAGGGGATTAACTGAACCACTATTCAATCTAAATCAGTGAACTGAATTATTGTCTTTTGCAGTAGTCCGAGTCGACATCTGTAACTAATCATGCAAATTGATAGTCAACAGTATACCTTTTTCAGAATGTCAGTTCACAAAGAATCACTGGTGATAGGGGAGTGTAACCGATAAATTGATCCTGAATCAGATAAGATTTTCTGGACGTATAACTCACAATACGTCCTTGGATTTTCCCAGTAACGGAGAACCCCTTTCTTTGAGTGAATATAAATAGTGACGGGGGTCTCACAAATAAATTTAAATCTGAATTACAGGAACATCGATTAGCAAAGTAAACTTACATATTAATCTCGAAGTTATTTACGGTAAAGACAGACTGTGCTCCTGAATTAAGGTATTATACATTTGTGTATTTTACTCGAGGGGGGGGGGGGGGCACTTCCTATATACAAGGTGATAGGACGTGCCGCTGGAATAGGTCACTTTTTCCAGCTTGAAAATATGGGAATAGGTGGGGAAAACTATCAGAAATATATGATAAGGTCGATAAAGTTCCAATTACTTGTATATGAAAAGCCCTGTCATTTTTTCACAGCCGAAAGTCTCGCCGTAAGTAAACATTACATACAGAATCTTAGCCTTAAATATTCCACTTCTCCAACACACCCCACGAAAACCAACCAATATGGGAAAAGGTTACAATTTTACCCACGCAGTATATGAAAAGGTATACATTTTTAAGATCTAAATTATATGAATAGGCTGGGGTAACAGAACCCCAGCGACACCCCCTATCAATTAAGTATTGAAGTGCCCCTCCCCCCCCCCCCCCCCCCCCCCCCCCCCCGAGGTATTTTACTGCTACAAGATATTTGATTTGCTAATCACGCACCCGTTGATGAGCCGAGAACCATACTTTCAAGCCAGGGGCAGTCTATAACAGTTAGTATATATAGAAAGTCCCTGTAAAAAGGCAGCTGGCAAATCCTAACAGTACTGTAACTTAATGATACATGTATATCAAGTTACAGCACCTCACCCAGCACAGTTAGCACACTGGTGTGTGTCAGTCTTATAATATAAAACTGCGTAGGTTCATATCGTTTGATATTTTTTAGGACCGTTGTCAACTTGACATTGTCAAATCCGACCTGCCACTTTGCAACCTGACCTGCAAAAACATAATTCGACTAAAAACAATGCCAGTCAAAATTGCTTTTTGAGACTGGGCGACTGAAAAAGTTTTAAAATGTGACCTTGTGACCCTACTTGGAATTCTTCATTTACGGCGTGTGTCGGTTTGGCTAAAAAGGGGGCATTGTTTTTTTTTTCTTGGGACAAAAAATTGTTTCTATCTTTATTTAAAAAAAAAATAAGACCAATCATAAACTTTTTTTTTCAAAACTCAGTGTCGTATTTTATTGTTTTCCCAACAATTTTTAATAAAAGCTTAAAATGTTTGTTTCACTTCCCTCTGACTTCCCTCCTGATTTTTTTTTCTCAAGAAATTATAGAATCAGTAAATGGATATATATATATGTCTGTGGTCACCGTCATGCAGTTAGATAAGAAATTCCAGCATGCATCATCAAATAATTCATGTGTATTTGTGACATCAACATAACTGAAACATTATATTATTTCCCAGTAATTATGTAAATCATTTTGATTTACAATTATATATGTCTGGGACTTATGCATGTATATATCTCACAGGCACTTGTCTCAGAAAAAAAATCCTATATACTTTAATAAAAGTATATAGGAAAAAAATTCTGAGACAAGTGCCTGTGATATATCTGTCAGTCCCAGAATAATAAATGTAATTGTATCTTAATCTTTGGAAAAATCCGATTATTAAATTGTTAAATTCTTTTACGTCATAATTGTATCAAAGTATACTTTTTAAAGTTTTAAATTTTAAAGTTAAAATGAAAATTCCGTTTTGATCTGAGGAAAAACTTTTTAAACTGTAATGACATGGTCAGTCAACTGATTTGTTGCATGGCTGATTACAGGTAATTAAAGCACGCAGTAATTTTCCATTACGACAGTGCGTGTACCCTGGGGTGTGTATATAACGTATTAGAAATATCATAGTTTTCTAGAGAACATCCTGTCTATGTGTAATACAGATAGATGACATTACACAACATTTTTTTCGTTAAATGTAGTTAAGTATCTGTGTCCATTCCCTATTGGAACACTACAATTCTTTCGAAGAAAAAAATGTTAAAATTTAAAAAAAAAATCATTTATTTAAATAAAGAAGAAAAAAGTAGCAAATAAACTTATGTAACTACGCATTGAGTAAACATAATTTCACTTTACATGTACAAACCCTTGAGAAAACGTATATATAGATGTGTTTAAAAAGGCCAATTCCCAGTGGATTTATTTCACACTAGGACCACAGGCACTTGTCTCAGAATTTTGTTTCCTATATACCTTAATACAGGGACTTTCTATACTAACTTAGTATAGAAAGTCCCTGCTTAATATAACATTAAAAGTATATAGGAAATATTTTTTCTGAGACAAGTGCCTGTGACTAGGAACTAAGATAACTCGAACTAAGTTCATTGGAAAGTCTTTGTCTGATACATGTATACCTATAGATAATGTACATAATTAAGAACAGCTTCAAATATATGCCTATAAATTAACGGTACGTCTAAAAACCGCTCAGGACCTCCTGAGTGCAGACAGGACATAAAAAGTCACTCAGGACATGTATATACTCCATTCTCAATTTTATGTTTTAGTGAGCGTTGAGGGTATACATTCGATAGATTATTTAATATTTGATCTTATAATATTGGTTTTGATAAAATCAAACCAACATTAAAGAAGTTATTTGGGATACGTCATGCATGACCGATGATCATATTCAATACCAATCTTCATTTTGATTACGACGTTTGATCTTTAATAATTAGGACTGATTGGTGATGGTTATAAACACATACAAGTAAACTTTGCAAACAAACAAAAAAAAAACCGTTTCCTTGGAAAAATTATAAAAATACATGAATATTGTTTTTACAAAAAAAGTTAAATAAATTTTTCGTTTTGTATGTAATAATTGAAGCCATTTAGAAATATAAGATATCTACACATAGTCAGGAAATTTTCAATTCAAGTTATTTCATTTGAAAACGTTAACAAATATAGATCTTATTCGATGTGAAATGTGGCGTCCTTGAGATCAAAACCCCGTTTAAATAGGGTTTGTCTACTTTCGTCTATTGCCGAACATTCTATAATCAAGGATTTTTACAAATCCTTGCTATAATATAATGAATCGCGTCGCCAATATCACCACAATTACATAAAGTACAAATACAATCTTCTCCTAAATATTTGGCATCTAACAATTACAATAGGAAATTTTGAGTCGAAACTGAAGTACCAAATCTACAAAAAGAATCACTATTTTTTGTAGTAGTAGGCGTTGAAAACTAAACTGTTTATAATCTTTTTTTTCTCCTAAATTAATTGAAACTCCTGAAATAATTTAACATTATCTATAGACAGCTTACATATGCAAATCTTTTTAGAAGTATGTGAGTGTATAGTAATAATTTGTTCATTAACCCCCCTTTTTCCTTCTTTAAAATTACATTGTAATCGATTTTATTTCCAAATTTGTGTTTGCTAGGATTGACACTTAGAATGTACAACAAAAAGTAACAAGTAAAAAGTCACGATTCAGTTTTGGGATATTTTTTTCTTTGAATAAACTTAATTTTAAAAACGTTTCAGTATTTTTCTGAAACATTTTTAAAGGAAACGGACTTGTAAACTAAATTTATTTTTGAATATTAATATGAACAATGATTGTTAAGAAAACAATCTGCCAAAGTGGTTTGGTAATTAACTGAAGTCATGCTGTCAAAAATGTCTCCTTTTTATAAGTTATTGATAAAAAAAACTATTTGAAGGCGAGTTAATCATTTCCTCAACTAAATACATTTATCTATAAATAAAGTCAATTCGTCAAGAACTTTCTCTCATATATTTAAACAATTGTAAAATAATTAATTTAAACCTTTGTCCTGCGACTTTCTGTCCGTTTACCAATACTTATTCCTTGTTAAGTTTTTTCATATCCATTTACGAATACTTATAACGTGATAATTAATTTTCCCGGATGCTTTTTATCCTATTTTCATATCAAACAACCATGTTACCCGTAGAACGGAGTTAAGTACAAATTTAGGAATTTAGTACTTAAAATTTTCAACAACAAAATTTTACACTTTCGTTTACCTGGATTTTTTTCTACGCTTCGAAGCCGCCACCCAGTATCAAACTTATCCAATACCTCGCATGGCGTATTCACGATGTGGAGGGATTGACAATATACAATCAAAGTTAGCAATATACAGCAAGTAAGTAATTGGGTGTTGAATGCCAGTAGATCTGAATTTGTAAATTTTTAAATTGAATTTAACCTGTTAAGAACGTGTATTGTTGAATTGTTCAATAAAATTACACACATAATCTGGGCTGATATGCATAAAACCACTTTAAGTTCAAGGTATCGATAAAACTGGGTCTGCATGAAAAAATGACTTATCACATAATACCAGAACCTATGTTTAGCCTACTGTTACACGATAAGAAAATATAGCTGTAGGCCTAGTTGAAAATCTTTACAAATTATTTATTCTTTTAATTTCTGTTTGACTGTCTGGGTGCTTCTTGTGTGTTTTAAATGCTATAGTCAAGTTTTATAGACTGTTGTACGTCATTTGGTCGTTTTTAAGTTTTTGCCATGGCGTTTGTCAGTATGTCTTCGACTTATAAGTTTTATCTGAGACTACTATAACACAGTTATAGTAGTCTCAGGTTTTATCAAGGATTTGTATAGTGAGATTGGTTTTATATAATCTGCATCTCTTGTACTGTATTTTAAAATGTATTACAATTGCTGCATCTTTACACATTCATCAATACACCAAAAAATATGAATAAAGCTTTCGTATATATATAAATAAGGAGATGTGGTACGATTGGTAATGAAACAACTATCCGCCAGTTCAATTCAAAAACCTGATATAAGCAAATGTGACTTACTTACTTACTTACTTTAGTCAGAGAGATCTTGAATCTGAATTCAAGGATACGAAGTGAGAAGGGTTTAGAGGTGGATTAAGGTGAGGGCATGGGGGCCCGCCCCTTTTTTG